CGACTGCAACTTTTTTTCTTTTCTTTTTTTCCTTCCTTCTTCTTCTTCCTCCTTCTTCTTCCTTCTTCTTCTTCTTCCTTCTTCCTTCCTCCTTCCTCCTTCCACCTTCTTCTTCATCTTCCTCAAAAAAAAAAAAAAAAAAAAAAAAAAACCGAATCTGGGCAGATTCGGAGGAAGAAGAAGAAGAAGAAGAAGAAGAGGAAGGAAGAAGGGGGAAGAAGGACGAAGAAAAAAAAAACTTCCCCAGATTCGGAGGAAGAAAAGGAAGAAGGGGAAGGAAGGAGAAGGAGGAAGGAAAAAAAAATGTTGCAATCGGGTGGAAGAAGAAGAAGAAGAAGAAGAAGAAGAAAAGAAGAAAGAAAAAAAAAACGTGGCTGACACGTGGCGCCCAGTCATTGTCCACATGGGTGCCACGTCATCACTTAACGGGAGAACTAACAGTTTGACTAACGGATGTATGAGACTGTCCCAAAATTTACACTTTAGGTATGACTCTGAGATGAAAAAAACTTGATGTACTAAATGTTGAAAACCATGAAACATGAGGGTAGTAAACAGTCTTTTACCCAAAACAAAAATACAAACACAAAGAAAGGAAAAAGAAAATACATAAAATAAAAATGGTTTAATTTTCTCCCTTTCATCTTCCTTCCGCCCACCTCCTTCTCCAAACCCAGCCACCATTGTTGCACTCTCCCAGCAACCAAACCATAAAAAAGTTAAAATCTAAATTTGGAACACAATCTTCCTTTCCAAATGACTTCACACAGTGATCTCCATACTTGTAGCCTTATTCCACGCTGCCTTGACAACCTACAATCGAAACCCTCACCGCACAGAGGTTGGAACTTTGTGGGCTACGAGTTGGGGATCGGATGGGTTGTGGGGATTGAGAGATGGAGATGGGAGGTAGGCTAGGGAGTTGGTCAAAGACTCAAAGGTGAATGTGTGGACTGCAAGAGTTGGTGAAGTGGTGAGGGTGGGTTTATAGAATTTTTTTTATTTTTAATTTTATCTTTCCTAATTATTATTTTTAAATATTTCTAAGCCATGTAGTACATAATTATTTAAGTGTGGGGCCCATAAACCTTCCACTCAGACACTCTAATAGAAAATTTAACAAAATTGACATCAGATGACCAATGCTCCACATTTTATCAAGTTTAGGGACCAAATTTAATGGATTTTTTGTTCAGGGACTAAAACTACAATTCAATCATAGTTTAGGGACCATTCTTCTAATTTACTCTTTTCTCTTATGCTAAGTCATAATTTTATTCGGCATTTAGTTTTACAGTTTAGCCCTTTTCTTTCTCCAAGTAAAGTTTCTCGCTTGTTAGTCTTGCCCCTACCTTTATTTATGGGATATTTGAAGAAGCGCAGGTTTGGAACCCTATACAAGGGCTTTTCTCCAACCTATACAAGTGCTGGTCTCGATCTCACTTGGTGGTGCCCCTCTCAATGATTGTTGATTCAACATTGATTTTGTGCTTGAGTTGGAGGGCCCCCCCCCCTCCATTCATCGAATCAAGTAATTTGCTATCAGAATTTATTCCGCCACGAATCTCATGCAATGCTTCTTGTTTCTCCGAATCGGCTCGTAGTGTCAGTCAATCAAGATTCGCAGTATTATTCTTTATTTAATTAGGAGGTTTTCGATTCTCGAGAAAAATGAATTTAAATCACATTATTGCAAGTTCATTAGGAGGCTTAGCCCACTCTCACCGTAAGTAATATCGTTTGTTAAAACAAAATAAAAAGTCATAATTTTGGTCTTTTTATGTTTTAAACATTGCATTCTTCATCTATTAAATCACTCATCAATGTGGTCTTCAATTTCATTAGACAACTTAATTAGTGTACTAACGTAAGAGCAATTTTTCTGTAGGTTCGAAACATTAATACACCAGATATCTTTAAATAAATGAAGGGACACTTGATAAATAAAATTTTCCTTCACTCATATATAATGACATATGGTATACACCACGTATTCCGGCACACCAAAAATTTTATGAAGCCACAAAACCAATCACAAAAGGAGAATGCTAGGAAGTGAAGATTGGATTATTACTTTAAGGATTGATTAACATGCTTAATTCTTATTGGTGATACAAATTTAATCTATCGAGCATTACTACTATGTCGAAAAAATTAACATGGCTAATTGTACAGATTTTATTGCTCTTTGCCTAAATAACCTTTATATTAAATGCTTTGTGTATATTTGATTATATATATATATATAATTGTGAAAATTCCTTAAATCGTTTACTATGTTCTTGTATCTGCATTGAACTTTATATTGGGAGGATACTAAAGCACTATCCTTATTGGGACTCTCTCTCTCTCTCTCTCTCTCTCTCTCTCTCTCTTCCGCGCGTCCCTTCCTCTCCTTTTACTAGGGATACAAAAAGGTTTACCTACAAGTAATTCACAACTACATCTTTTTTCAAGCACAAGACCAAACCTTTTCCCCTATGAAAAATGCTTGAACTGTTACCATTTTTGGTACGTTTCAGGCTGCTACTCACTCAGACTTCTCTTTCTCTTTCTCTTTCTACATCGATTTGATATTCTATCGTGTTCATACCTCTCATTTCCTTAAACTCGTGACTATAATTCTTTCTTGTGCAGGAAGGAAGCTAAATGCGAGATTTTTTTTTTGGGGGGGGGGGGGGGGGCTGCGACCTTGTGTATGTATATAGCTAGGTACCGATGTCTTCTTTTCAAGGTGGAAATCGTTCAACAATGACAAGCGACCGACTTTATACCAAGAAATAGTTACATATTTTCTGAACAAAAAAAATCTCTGGCCATCCTCTGCCGGTGAATGGGATCATTGAAGAATTGAAGTTTTATGACTACAGCCCTATGCAACTCTCCGGTGAATTATCTTGTTTTGGTTTCTTTTTTCAATTTATGTGGTATCTTTGATCTTTCTTTTGCAGTTTCGATTCGCATTTAAAGTTTGTCATAGGAGTGTAGGAAGTAGGATGACATCAAGGCCTTGAATATGATTTTTTTCTTTCTCGAACCCTAGGGATGTATGGGTTAGCAGACCAATAAGATTTGTATTTCTTCACCCATCGAAACTGTGTCCCAAAGCGTAAAGCTGGCAATGGGTATTGGAAATGAATTACATCATATGAAGGGATCAAACAAGGGAATGAGATAATTGGATACAAAAAACTGTTACGATTTTGACGAAGGAGCGGTCGAAAAAGTTCAACAACTACTGACTGGTATATGATCGAGTACAAGAGTGGTGTAATGGCACCAAAAGCAACTGGGGCTGTAAGTAACTCTTTTCTTCATTCCTTACTCATGTAGTACTTTAATATGGATTCGAATTTATGATTATGCGGTTTAAATTCTTCTGTGTAGTTGTATGGCTGGGTTTTGTGTAAGTTCTACGAAAAAAATGACGAATGTTAAGAACGTATTATTCTCCCCCAATCAAGGCAACGGTGCTCTACATGTTACAGGAGACCTTCACCTATATGTAAGTTTCTCTAACAAGTACTTCGCACAATATTTGCTTTAACGCTAATGCAAAATTATTTGTTGTAATTAGTGTGAGTATTGATTACCTGTAGTATCTACCCTCGTCTTCCCTTCATCTCTCGGTCCATTCATTGCTCTCTACATGATTCAGAAAATAGAACAGGTACATTTATAATTCTGTAGACCGGAAATGGTCAAAGCTTTTCGAGTATTTCTGCCTGTGATGAGCCTGGGTGTTACTGTTTTTGTATGGGTTTAGGGTATAGGTTGATTTTCTGTAAAAAAAAAGGTCGTACCCAGTGCACAAGGCTCCCGCTTTACGCAAGGTCTGGGAGAGGTGAATGTCGGCTAGCCTTACCCCCATTTATGGAGAGGCTGCTCCCGATTTTCTGTAAATATGTATAAATAAATCTCTATTTGTGTGTGTACTATTTGCAAAATATAATCTAAAAAACTGATAATTTCTTTACCAAGATTGCTATTACGATGAAATACAGAGTTCGGGTAGATAATATACTTAATGAGCATTTTTAAGATTGAAAAGAATTTTGGATCAGAAGAACAAACTAGTCATATATTCAGTTTTTTGGGGATACAGCTAGTCATATTCATTGGTTTTAATTCTATATTGCAAAATAAGCCAGCATTTTTCCAATATATTACAAAACTTAATGGTTATAACTACATTCTGCAGAAATCTGTAAAAATGCCATCAGAACTGTTGGAAGCTAAACGGCTTCTGAAGTCCAAGGATCAAAGGCAGCAAGGAGCTCCCGAGCATGGCTTCTATCCGCATCGAAGAAGAAAGAAGAAGAAAGTGTTTTAGCCTCCAATTGCTAGTTTTTCAGTTTAAATGTATGTGTAAGTGTGTGAGTGACAAATGTACATTCCAAATTAAATCACTTAAAACCTAAATGAAGGGCTATGATTTAATCTGGAGTAAGGATAAAAGAGTTGTTTAAGTCTCTTGTCAATCACTCCTTTAAGTAAGCATGGGTCATGGCAATGCACCATACCCTACAAGATTTCCTCTACTTAATGAAGTTATGGCTGTTGCATTTCTTACATAGCCTTTGAAGTCGTCAATCACATCTCCTGCTATTCTAACCCTAAGAAACCGATCCAAACTATCAACCAAAACATCTAAACAAACAAACTTTATCATGGCCTCAAAGTTTAGTTTTTGATCTTACAACTTTCTGGCCGTAATCTATGCAAGTTGAGGTCTTTGGGAGCACATACGTAGTGTCCTCAACAACAACAATCAACAAACAACCCTGCAAATGAAGGGATTAAGCAGTCGCAATGAACTAAAAGCTCTAGCCTTTGATGGGGAAAACTATGATTTTTGGAGAATAAGAATGACAATCATTTTCAAGTCCTATGATATATGGGATATGGTTCAACACGGGTATGAACTACCTGAGAGGAAGGTCGATGCTCTAGAGGAGGACCTCACAGAAACATAACTCAAAACACTGAAGCAGAACCAGATGGAGGATGCTATAGCACTTGGAATCATCCAAGGTGCTGTCTCAGACACCATTTTCCCGAGGATAGCAAATGAAGAGATTGCAAATGGAGCTTGGGAAGTTTTACAGCAAGAGCACATAGGAGACACCAAAGTTAGAAAGGTAAAACTTCAATCCCTTAGAAGAGATTTCGAGTATATAAGAATGAGGGAAAATGAGCTGTTGAAAGATTACTTTACTAGGCTATTTGATGTTGTAAATAAGATGAAAACACATGGTGAGGAATTGCCTAATGAGAAAGTTGTCCAGAAACTATTGATCAGTTTGACTAAGCCATATGATTCAATAGCGAGTGTCATTAAAGAAACCAAAGACATTGAAACTCTTAGTGTGCAAGATGTAATGGCATTCTTAAGAGCTTTTGACCAAAGGCTTGAGAGGCATGAAAGCAATTCAATCACTCTCTATTGGATCTAGTAGTCAAGCTAATGCACGCAAACAAAAACCACAGTGGAAGGGCAAGAACAAGAAATGGGAAGGAAGGGGGTATCAAAACCCTAGACTTAACCTAGGCAGCAACTCAAATAAAGGTCCAAGAACCAAGTAGCAATGCAAGCACTGTGACAAATTCCATTTTGGGAAGTGTTAGTTCAATGACAAGCCTAGATGTCATAAATGTAACAAGTTCGGGCACATCATAAGGGATTGCAGATCAAAGAATGTGCAGCAAGTGAACTACGCTAACCAAGTGGAAGAAGAAGCAAATATGTTCTGTGCTTTTAATGCAAAAGTGGAGAAAAACACTGAAGTGTGGTACATTGACAATGGCTACAGCAATCACATAACTGCACATAAGTCATTACTCATTGACATTGACACAAACTTCACTGGAAAAGTAAAAATGGAAGATGGAAACATTGTCATAGCCACTAGAAGAGGAAGTCTGGTCATTAACACCAAGAAAGGAAAAAGATGCATAAGAGAGGTGATGCTAGTGCCTGGATTGGATGAGAATCTACTTAGTATGGGTCAAATGATGGAGCATGGCTATTTCCTACTCTTTGGGGGAACTGTGGTCGAGATCTATGATGACATGTCCCTATCAAACCTGGTGACTAGAGTAGAAGTGAAAAACATAAGCTTTCCACTTATGTTGAAGTACCTAGAAGAGGTGGCAAGGAAAGCAAGTGTGACAAGTTCTATGAAGTTATGGCACAAGAGGCTTGGTCACTTAAACATGATAAGTTTAGAAAATCTGCAAAAGCATGAAATGGTACAAGGTGTACCAAAGTTGGATCAATGCAATGAAACCTGTGAAGGATATGTGTTTGGAAAGCATCACAGAGATCCATTTGAAGCTGGAAAAGCTTGGAGGGCAACAAAGCCACTTGAATTGATTCACACAGACGTGTGTGGACCAATGCAAACAACAAAAATAAGTGGAAACAGGTATTTCCTAACCTTCATTAATGACTACTCACAGATGTGTTGGGTGTACGTGATGAGGTTCAAGTATGAGGTATTCACAATATTCAAGAAGTTCAAGGCAATTGTGGAATTGCAAAGTGGATACCAAATCAAAAGACTAAGAAGTGATAGGGGAGGAGAGTACACCTTTCTTGAGTTCAATGCATTCTGTGAAGATGTGGGATTGGAAAAGCAACTCACAGTGGCATATTCACCACAACAGAATGGCATTGTAGAAATGAAGAATATGACTATAGCCAAAATGGCTAAGTCTATGATACATGAGAAGAACATGCCCTATACATTTTGGGGTGAAGTTGTGAACACCTTAGTGTACCTATTGAATAGGTGCCTTACTAAAGCATTGGACAAGAATACTCCATTTGAAGTGTTCAGTGGAAGGAAGCCTTCTGTGAAGCATCTGAAAGTGTTTGGCTTAATGTGCTACACTCACATTCCTCAACAACTAAGACACAAGTTGGAGAAATCAAGCAACAAAGGGTGTTTTTGTGGGTTATGGTACCAATGAGAAAGGGTACAAAGTTTACAATATGTCAACTCAGAAGATAATCTTGTCAATGGATGTTATCTTTGATGAATATTCAACATGGAATTGGGAAACAAGTGTAGAAGAGAAAGATAGTGTCTCTTTACAACTTGACCTCAACAATGGGCAAACAAGGGAGCTTATGGAAACCTTAATTCAAGAAGTAACCACAAAGAATGGTGACACACAAGGGACTCCACAACAATCAAACATAAGTCCACGATCGAGTCAATCACAAATAACAACTCCAAGTTCAACTCCAGTGAGGTTGAGAAGCTTGGATGAGATATATGCTACATGTAATTACTGTGTAGTGGAACCAGAAACATATGAAGAAGTTGAGAAAGACAAAGCTTGGAAGAAAACAATGAAGGAAGAGCTTGAAATGATAGAGAATAAGGCAAGATTAGTAGTTAAAGGTTTCTCACATGAAACATGTAATTACTGTGTAGATGGTTCTGTGCAGAAGAACAAGGCAGGATTGGTAGCTAAAGGCTACTCACAGAAGCCTGGTGTAGATTTCAATGAAACCTTTGCACCAGTAGCAAGGTTAGACATCATAAGGACCTTGATAGCCCTAGTAGCCAAGAAGGGTTGGAAGCTGCATTAATTGGATGTTAAATCTGCATTTCTAAATGAAGTGTTAGGGGATGAGGTGTTAGTGGAACAATCTCAAGGGTTCACAAGTGAAGCATTTCCAGATAAGGTGTACAAGCTAAGAAAGGCACTATATGGCCTAAAACAAGATAAGGTGTACAAGATAAGGTGTACAGTGAGATTGATTCTTATTTCCCTGAGAAATGATTTCAGAAAAGTCCTAGTGAAGCTACATTCTACACCAAGATAAAAGGCAACAACAAGCAACAACAAGACACTCATTGTCTCAATCTATGTGGATGATGTTGTCTACACTAGAAATGATGCTTTAATGATTGAAGAGTTCAAAGAAGAAATGATGAAGAGGTATAAAATGACTGACCTAGGCCTCTTGCATCATTTTCTTGGCATTGGGGTAATTCAAAAGGCAAACAACATCTTCATTCATCAAAGGAAGTATGCTGAAACCTTGCTTGAAAGGTTTGGTTTGAAGGGTTGCAAATCGGTCTCTACACCTCTAATTGAAAATGAGAAGCTTAAGAAGGATGATGGAAGTGAACATGCGAATGCTAGTCTCTACAAAAGCATTGTTAGCAGTCTATTATACTTGACTGCAACAAAGCCAAATCTAATGTTCTCAGCAAGCCTACTCTCTAGATTTATGCAGAATCCTAGCAAGATACACACGGGGACAACAAAGAAAGTTCTAAGATATGTGCAAGGAACACTTGATTATGGCATTATGGCATCAAGTATGAAATGGGGAAGTCAACTATCCTAATTGGATTTTGTGATAGTGACTGGGGTGGCAGTGAAGATGATAGCAAAAGCACATCGGGCTATGCTTTTACCTTTGGTTCAAGGGTTTTTTCATGGGCCTCTGTGAAGCAACAAAGTGTTGCACTGTCCACAGCCGAGGCAGAGTACGTGAGTACATCAAAAGCAATAGTTCAAGCTATTTGGCTAAGGTTTATCCTCAAAGACTTTTGCGAATTGTAGGTTGAAGCCACACCACTTCTGTGTGACAACACCTTTGCAATCAAGCTAATCTATTGCAGCACAGAAGATTCGATCGAAAATATTTTCACAAAAGCATTATCGAATGAAAGATTCAAATTACCTGAGGGGATTGCTTGGAATGACTCCCAGAAGTAGTTTAGAAGGGAGTGTTGGAAGCTAAACAGCTTCTGAAGTCGAAGGATCGAAAGCAGCAAGGAGCTTCCGAGCATGGCTTCTATCTGCATCGAAAAAGAAAGAAGAAGAAAGGGTTTTAGCCTCTGACGGCTAGTTTTTCAGTTTAAATGTATGTGTAAGTGTGTGAGTGACAAATGTACATTCCAAATTAGATCACTTAAAACCCAAATGAAGGGCTAGGATTTAATCTGGAGTAGTAAGGATAAAAAAGTTGTTTAAGTCTCTTGTTAATCACTCATTTAAGCAAGCATGGGTCATGGCAATGCACCATACCCTACAAGATTTCCTCTACTTAATGAAGTTATGGCTGCTGCATTTCTTACACAGCTTTTGAAGCCATCAATCACATCTCCATGTCCTCTCTATTCTCTGCTATTCTAACCCTAAGAAACCGATCCAAACTATCAACCAAAACATCTAAACAAACAAACTTTATCAAGAACTTCCCTATGAAATCATCATCGAGATTTTGAGTTAGTCTTTGCTAAGGTTTAAGCGTGCTGCAAGAAATGGCGTTTCTTGATTGATCAAGAATATAAGTTCAAGGCAAAACATTTGGAACGCGCCCGTCCTTTGAAACCCTCTTTCCAATACAAGTTGGAGGCTAACAATAACCTTCCGAGCAAGGACAGAGCTACCATGGGCCTAGGGGCGGATGCCCCCACTGAGATTTTTCTGATGCTGACTCTTTTGCGGGATTGATTCTCAGGGGACGAGTACTGTGTGCTGCCTTATGATTGCCATCCTCATTGCATTATATGGCATAGAATAGATTGACATTCGAGCCCATATTCATTGATTAATTTTTCCTTTTCCAGATTAATCCCTATCTTCTTCACCCTGAGATGAATATCATCAGCAGTTCGTTGGTCCTACAAAGCGTCGTGCACCAACATTTATCTTGTCTCCACCTTTCGGCTTTCACATTAAGCTTATAGTTTGACAAATGTCCCAGCGAAAGATAATTTTCATCATGCTGGCATGCTGCTCAAACTGATCGGGTTTTGCAGCAGCAGAGGCAGAGCCCCTACTGAGATTTTTTTGGTTTTGCTCTCCGATCTGGTTCTGCAAAAGCAGAGCTAGGTTTTTTTTTTTTTTTAAATCCAGGCCAAAACGACGTCGTTTTGGTCCTGGTATTAAAAAAAATAGTGAACGAAACGGCGTCGTTTCGTATATGTTTGAAAAAAATAAAAGGTATGTTATAGTGGGGGACTGCTTGTCCCCACCCGGTCCACCCCCATTCCATTATTTCCATATTTCCGTTTCCTTTGCCAATCAGAGAGCAGCTCTTCCCCAGTTCCCCAAATTCCAAGCAGGCAGCTGCAGAAACAGAACGGAACAGAAGCAACAAAGGTGTTGTTCCCAGGCTCCCAGCCAGCCACGTGCAGCCAGCCACTCACCAGCCAGCCGTTCTAGCCGACATATATATATTTAGGTAATTTTTTTAATTCCTAAATCTATAATCCCTAACCCTAATTAATTATTTAAGATGAATTTTTGTTTAATTGGTATAGAAATATAGAATCATATGGTAATGCACTAATATGGTTATTGGTTATTGAAATGAATTCTATGATTATTGATGAATGAAATTATGAAATTACAAATTTTATGAATATGGGTATACATTTATTCATATGATTAGTTGAATTAAATGTTTATTTGTTGAATA